AAAAAAACGTAAGTAGAAGCATTCGTAAGTAGAGGTTCCACTGTATAAGAAAAACATATCTATGCTACTAACAAGCTTAAGTAGTTATTCCATCTGGACACAAAATCACAGAAAGAGGCTAAGTATCTAGTCTAGCAGAAACCTCAGTATTTGTACCAACTATAATTTCTTGGACTGTTTTTGGAGATAGTCACAACAGTTACCCCAGCAGGAGACTGGTCACAGCACATGGAAACTAAAGGCTTTTGCAGACTGCCAGAAATAGTGCACATTAAAGGGAATCATGGGAACTGTAATTTATTGTGGCACTAGAGCTCTCTGACAGAGAAGGCTCAATGTCTCAGAAAAAAATACAATTCCCATGACTCCCTAGCACTGAGCCAGGGCAGTGCCTCAATTTAATGTGCACTATTTCTGGCAGTCTGCAAAGGCCCTTACTCATCTATTTGTAGACAATGAAGTTTATAAAACAAAAAACAAGTCTTGCTCCCCCCCACCCTTCACCCAACCAGAATGTTTACACTGTAAGCTTAAGGATGGGGAGTAAGATATATCTCTTATGTTCTGTACAGTGCTTGGCAAGATCACTTCTATCAAAACAGACATTCCTCTCTTGTCTACTTAGCATTGTGGGAGAACTATCAAGCAGCCTGAGCAATGATACCATCACTATGACAACCTCCACTCTGGGCTAGACATTACCGATTCTCTTTTCTTGTTTCTCCAGTCTGGCTTTTCCATATCCGTCAGCTAAAGATCACACTTGCTATCTCACATAAAACTTTCTATAAATTCAGTTCCCACCATATTCTGCCACTTTTTCTTGGGATGTACACATTTCCAAATGCTCTCTTAAAATGACTTTGTATGTGTGTAGGTGTTGCCCAGTATTGGCTTACATATGCTAGGCTAGCACCAATTAATCATGTTTCTGTGTTGGAATCTTCGCAGTCTTCTTGTAATCCAGAATAGTCTGGCACCAATAAGATACTTCCATCAATTGCCATTCCTCCCATGCCACATCATAAGTGAACCCACTCAAACCTTTTACTGACATCAACATGGAATTGATTCCAATATTAAAAGTCACACTTTACTGAAAGCTTGACTGGTTTCTGCTACCAGGAATTGTATTTACTGAGAATGTATATACTGACAATATATAAGCACAATACAGAAGTTGTTTGTGGAACTGGATTCTACAATCAGTGCACATAATCTGAGCTACCATATATACCCATGTAGAAGTTGACCTCACATATAAGTCGAGGGAAAGTTTTAGGGCCAAAATCATAGATTTTTATATGACCCATCGATAAGTCAAGGGTAAAACTTAGGGGCATGTAACAAAGGATGTAAAGGAAAAAACAAAAAGAAAACACCACTTTCCTCCCTCCTTCTCCCTCTCTGGACTTCTCCCAACCACCAAACACCACTTCCCCGGTGCTGGAGAAGAAGGTTTTAGTATCAGATTGAGAAGAGAAGGAAGTGGAAGGAAATGGGGTTTGGTAGGCAGAGAGATCTAAAGGAGAAGGATGGGAAGGGAAAGGAACGGTGTTTTTTTAAAAAATTTATTATATACAGCTATATACAAAACATAAAACAACAATAAAACAAAGTAAAATAATTCATCTCACAACTTTAATTATGTTGTGGGTCTCCCTGGGTTCTGTTCAATGTAAGCAGTCATTTTAAAGTTCAATGCTGTCTTTGGGTAAATCTAGTCCAGAATATCTGACCAAAGGTTCAAATGAGATGGAGGTTGTCTTCTCTTGTTTCTGTCTTTGTTTATGAAGTCAATGAGTGAGAACTATTTGTCCATGAAAAGTCCTGATTTTGATCTTTCTGTGTAACTTGCCATTTTGTCAGACAGTTTTTCAAGTAACTATAGGTCCCATACCTTTTTCCACCACATATCTAAAGACAGCTTCCTTGTTTTCCAACATCTGGCAATTTCTACATGGGCTGCTGTAATGAAGAAATCTATGAGGTTTTTATGTTTCAAATCTGAGTTTGTGTCTACATATACTGATAGCAAAAACATTTCTGGACATAATTTTACTTATTAGTTTGTAATTAGTGAAATTTGTTCAAGTACCAATTAGCAAAATGTGTTTATTTTGGGGCAGTGTAGCCACATGTGTAGAAATGTGTCATTATCATTACAACCATGCCAACATTTGGAGGAAACATTTTTAACTATTCTGGTTAGCTTCACTGGAGAGAAGGGAAGGTTTTAACATCTGATTCATAAGGGAAGGAAAATGGGTGGAAATGGCGTTTGGAGAGATCCAGAGGAAGAGAGGATGGGAAGGGGAAGTCTTAACATCCAATTCAGAAGGGAATCACCTCTTTCACAGATACATACACACACTCACCTGCCTTGGCAGCTCTTACAGAAATCACTGCCGAGGCACAGAGAGTGGAGCAGGGCTTTTATCAGGACCTTTCTAAGCAGTATTACTGTACTGATCTATCGACCCAGGATATTAGGGTCAATTTTTGGGCATATATTTTTCAACCTATAGTTGAGTATATATGGTATGTGTATGTCACCTGTTTGCAACAGCACAGTGTAAGCACTGAATTTAATAACACACATAAAATTCTGGGAATATTTCAGGTGAATAGCTATCACTGGAATACATTGGTAAGTAAACAGCTGAGCAAACAGCTGAGCATCCCTAATCTGGAAATCTGAAAACCTCCAAATAGTTAAAGTTTTTGCCACCAGCTGCCCACTTCCACCTTCAAGGAAGTGCTTTGCCTCTCCAGTCCCTCTCCAGCCCCACTTCTCATACACAATGCAGGTAGTGAATGAATGAGATTCAAGGGTGGAGAAAGATGCAACTTGAGAGAGATGCAAGGATCTTTGAAATGGCAGGAGGCTCACGTCAAGGACTACCCACCATTTCTCCCATCCTCAATCTCTCTCCAATCTCATCTCTCTTGTGTCTCTCATGTCTCTCTCCAACTTCATAAATACAGTATGTATTATGCTAGTTGTGTATTATGTATATGCAAATACAAGAATTCCAATATATAAAAAAAATACGAAACACTTCTGGTTCCAATCATTTTGGCTAAGGGGTACTCAACTTGTA